CACACACACACACACACACACACACACACACACACACACACACACACACACACTCCCTTCCTCCTTCTCTCTCTTCTTCGCTCTCATGAAATCGCGAGTGACCGCGAATTTTTTGTCTCGCCGCGGCATGGAAACGACGCTTTTAATTCGACGCAAATTACGACATTGCGCAACGTTAATGTACACGCGAGTCGCACGATGTTTGTAAATTGCAGCTTGAGAAACGAAGCATGGCGAGAAGGCGACACGCGAAAAAAAACAACGCGCGGAGAGGGACGGGGGCAGATCGTAGCATAATTTCAACGACGATGGGACGCTCGTCCCTGTCGCAGAGAGAGAAAGAGAAACTCTTACGATCTATCCGACCGACGCAGCGATACGTTATCGGCTATTGGATCACGGATATTTTTATCGAATCATCTTCGTGAGATTAACCGACTGATATTGACACGGCAAAGCGAAGATAACGCATCGCACTCCTACATTAGTGCCAATCTCCTTAACGTGAACGAAATCACGCCACCGAGAATCCTCAGAATTGCGTATCGAATAATTTTCACATTTCGCATAAAAGTAGAACGAGGTGAAGGAATACAAGATCGATTAGCTTTTATCGATATTCTTTGCACCGAGAAAAAACACTCGAAAATTAATTTCCGGGGTACAAAGTTTATTTTTGTGAAATAAACTTTACATCCTACATTTTCAAGTTTGTTCTCATTTTTTTCACATTTCACATTTTTTTCTCAGTATACAAACTACTCGCGCTTTTGCCATACTAAAAAAAAAAATACTTAAAGATGTATCTTGTGAGATATAAAGTTTATTTCTGCGAATAAACTTTATGTCCCACAGATAAATTTGTAAATATTTTTCCTCCTCAATGCACTTTATTTTTCTATTAAAACACATCGAAATGAAAGGAGTTTACAACAATCTTATTGAGTCTGTATTATTACGTAAATCTTATTAATCTTGTTGACACAATACGTAATGATAATGATGATAATTTATTAACAAGGAAAAAAACGCTTTAGTTACGTAATAAAAGGCAAATACCGTGACATAAAGTAGATCTTTTTCCTGTAGACTCAATCCTAAAGATACACCTCTCGACTAACACGTTGCATCGTTCTCATGTTACAGCTGGTATCTCTGGACGGGTTGCATAGTGGAGTTCCGACCAGGACGACGCCGACGCTGACGCCAACCACGCTTCGCAGCATCGAGCAGACCTTTTTGGAGCTGACGAGCGAGTCAGCGTCGCACAGTCGCGAAGCCGGCTTTGTGCCGCCGCTGGTCGAGCCGTCTCAGCCGACCCCGGCACAAACGCAAAACACGGCGGCGCACCACCTCCCGCCAACGACTACCCTCATCGAGAGCCAGCAGACGCAACCGCAGCAGCAGTCGGTTAGACGCAATATGGGCGGCAGAAGGCCCAACAGAACGATCGGGATGACTCCCGAGGAGGAGGCGAGACGACAGATCCGGCGCGAAAGGAACAAGATGGCAGCGGCCAGATGCCGCAAACGAAGGATGGATCACACCAATGCCCTAATTGAAGTAAGCATCGACGGATCCTCTTGTTTATAAATTAAGCTCTAAACGTTACATTACATCCGTATAAAAACGAAGAGAACTATGGTCAGCCTCGCGATATTCTGAGCAATAAGAACTTGGTTTAGAATACAAGAAGATGGTCTATAAAGTATTCTATACTAAAGTATGTTGTTCTTGCAGGAGACCAAGGGCTTGGAAGAGAAGAAGCTTAATCTGACAGAAGAGATACAAAATCTGCAGCAACTTAAAGAGGAATTGGAATTGCTGTTGGACGCTCACAGAGCGGTCTGCCGGCTGCGATCCACGTCCCCGCCGGATGTGAAGCCCGTGATAAAGCCCGATATGCCGGAAGATCAATTCGCCGAGCCCACAAAAGGCAGCGACGCCATGGTAGCCGCTACGAGACCGAACAGACCCAATTCACTGCCGGTCGGGTTCGACAACAACAACAGACTGAATTCCCTGTCGCTGTTCGCGGAGCCTAAGGACAGGCCGGACACGTTGGTCTTCAAGACCATAGAGACGCCGTCTTTCATGAAGACCTCGATGGATGGTATGCCGATCACTACTCCGACTAGCGGTATACCGTTCAACTTCGACTCCCTCATGGAAGGTGGCACCGGTCTCACACCAGTCACGACACCCTTGATACCGTCGTGCTCTACGCAACAGAGGAGCAACCTGTCCGCTGTGGACCTTAGCTCGCCGGACGCGAATCCCAAGCTCGTGAGCTTGTGACGCCACGATGACGTGGAGTACGAATCGAACGAGGAGGACGATTCCGAATGAGAACGGAAGTACCATGACGCGAAGCTCGAGTTTCTTTTTTTCTCTGAGGGAGGGAATAACCGAAGTATTACGCGAGCGCTTTGCAACGAAATCTTTGATCGCCGTCAAAAGCTCTTTCATTGCGACTCTGCTTACTAGGAAGCGCGATCCACGATGCATTTTTTCTGTAAAAAATTCTTAGGTCGTTGGACCGTTGTATGAGGTTGACGACGTGTTTCTGAACGAATCAACAGATGGGTCTTTTTAAGAGAAAGTAACGGAGCAAAGATTATCATTGACATTGTTTGTTTTTGTACGATACGTGCTATGCAAGCACATTTTTTGATCTTGAAAATAAAAGAATACGATTTATCGTATTTAGATTTTAGCAATTTCACAGATTTGCGTTTTAACGGTCTCAGTATTTCGCGCCATACGTAAACGCCAACACGCGAGTCTAAAATTCTTGGATTATAATCTTGTATTGAGATCCATGAACGAATTGTTCTATCTTGTTACTCGTTGCAGATGTAAATCGTAGGAGAAAGAGAGAAATATGTTTTGAAAGGGAAGATAAGGCGCGCCAAATTGTCCGCGCACTTATAGAAAATGGTCGGCAGACTGATGCAATAATGTCTGCATACAAGTGATACGAATATATTTAACGTTTAAAGTTAACAAATTAGGATTAATGAAAGTAAGATTTGTCATTTTCTAAGCGATGCAACGAAAGATGAAGGAAATTTTATACTTGTAATTCTACACTTTGAGGATACTAGAAGTTAAGACAGAAAAAACATGTTTAGCTCAAAACTTCTAAGTACATTAAGGAACGATAAGAGCTCTTTGAATTGCGCTTAAAACATCGATCAATACACAAACACATATACACGTACACAACAACAGTTCGCATAATTCAAAGAAATATTTAAGAGTTGCGCGGGTAAATGAAATTGCACGAATTATTGTGCGATCTCGCACGGTGAAGATAGAAGAATTCAATTGTCTCGCTTTCGTCTTACCCGCGACGACATAAATAAGTTTTTATACGCGACTGTCGTTTTTTCCAGTCTCACTCGACATTATAACATTTAATCCCTCCGTACGTATAATATATATACACACATACATATATTTTACGATGTATGACATTTTTGCATGATCTTAAGCAATATTAATATATTCATGCGTGACTACTAGAGTATGATGCGCGGAAACCAATAGCGGGTAAGATCTCTTCTTTTGATAGCGTGACGACTTCTCTTTCATGCTCTGCGACTGATCTACCGAGAATTTTCCGACGTCATACTTGGTGGTCGCTGTTGAGGAACGTATATGGAGATTGTAAGGCACCATCAATAATGTTGCAATATATTTTGATTAGATTGAGTCAATAAAACGCGATGAAATTATATATTCTCCGTATCTTTATTCGTTCTCACATTATTAGAATATGGTAACATTATTAGAACCCTTTAGATTTTCTAATCGCCTCGTCCTCATCGGCTTCAGTCATCAGTTGATAATGACTGAACTCCAGTGAGAACGTCGCGTTGCCCGACGACATAATCCTCAATGCCGTCGAGTATCCCAATAATTCTGATAACGGTGCGTGAGCATCGATTACCTGTAACATAAGACACGAATCTAACATAAGCTGTGAGTCGTACAGTTGGAATTTCTTACTAACACTAACGTATAAAGCGGATTTACTCGCCTTGTTGTTGCCACGCATATCGACCTGTTGCATCTCGGCTCGCCTGCGAGTTAGATCCGCGATGATGCTCGGAGAATATTCCTGCGGCACGACAATCTCCAGTCGCATGATAGGCTCCAATAACATAGTATATCCGTCTCTCAGCAACTGTATGTAGAACAAGATACAACGGTATTGTTTATCGTTAAACATTCTGTCAAAAGTAGGAATTACAATAATTATTTCGACAACAATATATAGTTTAATTTTTTGATACGCTGACAATAGAATAGTCTTTGGTACTTTCGATCTAGCACAAACACATTCGCAGGAAAAATTTCGGCACGTACGGGAGGATGTCAAACATCCTCCCATTCTAATAATTATTCGCATTAGCATCCAACACATGGATCTTATTGGCCTTATAGTTCACTTAATATGATTGTCTTTCAACTCTCGAAATTAATAATTCTTTCCCGTTGAATAAACAGATAAGTGGTAATTAAATAATTTCCACATTTACATAAATTTATATTGACATCGGTGAGTAGTCACGCAAAAGTGAGACGGTGTGAACCCGTCAATCAATTCTGAGTTCTTGCCTATCATGCGATAGATATATAGGAGCAAGTAGCTAAATCCAACGAGTAATCGTCAAATGATAGAACTGATCGTGTGTGTAACTTAAGACACAAACCACCGACCTTCCGAATACATTGCGAGGTAGCGGCGGAGACCATGGTGTCCGAAGTACCGCGTCCTAACTCCAGCCAATGCAGCTTGACGCCGACATTGATCACCGGGCAACTCAGCTTCACGCCGTACAATAATGCAGCGGTCACGCCCTTCTTAATTGCGTTCATCATTCGTGGATGAATTTTGTCAATGTTGGACGCGTTGTCCGAACAAGACTTGTCCAAAAGCAGCTTCTCTTGACCCTTGTGATTGGGTATCAAAGACATCGTTATAGTGACCCGATGACTTGTATTACCCACTTTGTGTTCGGTGACCAACGTGTCTTTCACAGCATCCCGGATCGTCTCCTTGTAAGCTATCTGCAGAGGACCCAAGTCTACGTCGATCTTGTACTCCCTCTTGATCCTTTCCTTGATGATCTCGATATGTAACTCGCCCATGCCTTCAAGGACGATCTGCTCCGTGTCTGGATCATTCTTCACCCGTAAACTGGGATCCTCCCTCTGCAATTCCTGAAGAGCGACTTCGAGGGGCGACTGCGCCAACAGAGAAGGCGGTTCTATGGAGCAGAAGAACACTGGGTCCAGCAACTTCACGCCGGACGCGAAGAAATTGTCCACGTACTCTGTATGGTTGGGATTTTCCTTCAACATGGCCTGCTTAGCGTGGCTGGCTGCGCTCGCGCTCGTCGTCACCAGGTCGCCGGTGACGGTGTTTTTCAGTCCAGCCACTGCCGCGATATTACCGTAGGTCACCTCTGCCACCTCCTCGTAGTCGTCGGCGCAGGCGATGTACAAATGAACACATTGTTCACTCTGCTCGCGCGTCACGTTATACAGTTTTTGGCCCTTCTTCATATTGCCGGAGTAGATCCTGAAGAAGGTAACCGGGCCTTTGTGCTTGTCATGAACAATCTTAAAGACACGTGCCGCCAGGGTATCCCCGAAGTGCCGATACGACTTCGACTTATTCACGTTCTTCGGAGACGGTAAGTAAAGGACGACGCTGTCCATCAGAGGCTGCACTCCCATGTTCTTGTAGGAGCTGCCTAACATCACAGGTACGCCTTTCCTGTTCACAGCAACGTTACGCAAGGACTCCACTAATGCCTGCGCTGGCACGTTCTCTAAAGACTCTTGTTCGATAACGATGTCGGCCAACTTATCGTCCAAACCCGACAGTTTATCGGTCAACGCTTGTCGTTTCTCACTAGCAACCTCCCAGAGTCTGCCATCATCATTTTCAGTCATTTTCCTTCTTGTTAAATTCATACCCATATATTTGTTGTCAAAAATTAACTTCTCCATATTTATCACATCCACAATAGCCTCTAAGACTCCTGCCTTCTGCACAGGAATTTGGGTGGGTAATGTCTCTACATTCAACTTGGATTCGATGGAACGTAAACACATGTTAAAATCAGCATCTGGTCTGTCCATTTTGTTAATATAAATTATTCTTGGAATATTGTACCTATCAGCCTGCCTGGAAACTGTCAATGTCTGCGCCTCTACACCAGCTGTACCATCCAAAACTACAATTGCACCATCCAATATTTGCAGAGTTTGCTCCACCTGCATGGTAAAATCTATATGGCCCGGAGTATCTATCAAATTGAAGCGATAATCTTTCCAGTTGAATGTAACAGCAGCTGAGGTGATGGTTATCCCACGTTGACGTTCTTGTTCCATATAATCAGTGACTGTGTTACCATGGTGTACCTCTCCCATGCTTTTGATCAAGCCTGAATAGAATAACATTCTTTCTGTCGTCGTGGTTTTTCCTAAAGAAAAAATATTTGTGTTAAAGTATACAGCAGTTGGATCAGGTAAATTTTGAATAAAACTTGTATTAACTTGTAATTAAAGTAATTTTTAGTGATTGAAAATAAATTTATCGTGTACAATCAATAGGATGAAAGCAACAATACTAACCAGCATCAATATGTGCCAATATGCCAATGTTACGAATCTTAGTAATCTCCAATTCTTTTCCTTTTGTCTCTGGGAGAGAAGCACTTTTATGCGTATATCGTATGCGTAGTTTACACCACGAAGTCCTTACAAAATTATGCTTCAACATCTTGTTGATAGTTTTACTTGTCGAACTTGCAGAACACAACCTGTTTTGCAAACTTGTTTCTTGATTAAGAATACTGTGTGTTTACCCGAAATTATTATTTTTACATGACAAACGTGTATAAACTTTGTATATTTTGATAGGGTTGTTATCTAAAACAAGAATGAGTGCAGTCATTTTACAATTGAGCACTTATCCCTCGTATTACACGAGCCGGGAAAACGCACATACACTATATTAGATAAATTTGTCGAATAATCGAAGAAACGTTACATTTCTCTTCAGTGTTTCATAAAAAACTTATTGACTTGTTAATAGTATAATAATGTGATAACTTTATATAACGTGCAGTTTTAAAAAGCATAGGAATTATTCTTTTAGGTTAATTATGCATTTCAAGTGCAAATGGATTTTTATTTTTCTGTACACAATTACCTAACATTAAGTTAAATGGACTATTATTTCTTAGCAGTAGATAAAAAACCTGAATCACTTTTCGGTCATACTATTGAAAAATAAAAAGTCAATCTATTTCGTCATTGAGTTATATTATTTGAGAAATAAGAGGCGGCTGACCCATTATTGAGTCGTACCACGATCTCAATTTCTCGTACACGTCCACGTTAGGGTGCTATTTCACGTATCGTACGACAAGCTTTTCGGATACGTTTATTGGTTGGCAAATAGAGTATTTCTAGGTTCTCTGTTCGTCAACCAATAAACGTATCCAAAAAGCTTGTCGTACGACATGTGAAATATCAGCCTAAAACGTTTTTAGTAATGAACATTCATTTATTAATACTATTTTGGTACGCTGAAACAAGATACGTTTGAAATATTTTCAATATAATATTTTATATGAAAAAAAGAAAGATGTAAAACATTTAATTCGGGCTCCGTAAAAACTCCGTAAAAACATTACATCATTACATTTACATTACAGGCACGAGTCTGTCAAGTAGATCTATGCGTGACGTAAACTTTGGCTCCTGCACACAGGATGCGGTAATGCTTGCCGCGCGGCGGAAGTTCACACGACAGCCAATCAATATGCTGCTTTCCGTAATAACCTTCTAGCACGGAAAAACAACATATTGATTGGCTGTCGCGCGAACTTCTGCCGCGCGGCAAGCATTACCGCGTCCTGTGTGCAGGAGCCATTAGGCGTTTTTTCGTGATCACGGTAGCGTTTGGTTGGTTAGTTTGGTCCACTTAACGCTCGCAACGCCGCGAGTGTCTTTCTATCTTTAGCCCATTCTACAATTGCGTGAACGTGGATGTAAGTGGTTGTAAATGATTACGACAACCAATCAGAGTAAAGCAATCAGTGAATAAAACATTCGGATTGGTTGACTCTTAAGCGTCTTCTACAATGGCAGTAGGAGGAGGAGTAAGAAATAAGCAGTAAGCAAATTGACCAATTCCATTCTCATGTTTCAAAAATAATCGATTGTGATTAGTCTATTTACTTACTGCTTATTTCTTACTACTACTCCTACTGCAATTGTAGAAGACGCTTTACGTTCACGACTACGCTTACGCAATTATAGAATGGGCTTTTGTTGCTCGAGGCGTTGCGAGCGTTAAGTGGACTAAACTAACCAACCAAACGCTACCGTGGTCACGAAACGAAAAAACGCCTCTAATCATGCGCACGAGGTGAAAAATGCCCCCAACACACTGGCGTGGTAGCACGTGGTAGCATGTGGTAGCATGTGATGGATATGATTTTACAAGGCACGTATATACAATAATTTATTTTACAATAGAACAATTTCTTTTAAACCTTAGAAAGAAAAAAGTTCCATTTCTGCTTTATTTTTAGTTTATTTTTAGTACACTACATCTAAAAAGCAAAAATGGGACGTATTCGACGCAAAGAGATATCAAAGAATAAGAAGAAAATCAACAAGATTAAATCGACGGAGAAAACACGTAAACAATTACGAAAGGAAAAGAGACAACAAAAAAAGATAAGTAGAGCAATATATTATCAAAAAAACAGGTCTAGAAATCAATCGAAGGAAACTAAATCAACACGTAGTGTGAGAAGAATTGATAATGTTATGACATTGAGGGAAAAAGAAGAAGAAAGAGGAGAGCAGAATAATGAAAGAGGAGAGACACTTGTAATTATTTTTTAAATATTAATTAATATTAATTAGTATGTGTGTTTGTTCAATGACTAATAAAAACTTACTGCAATTATCAGATTACTAACAATTCTATTATATTAATTTCTGGTATTAATTAAAGTAAGAAAAATATTTGTGCAATAACATGGTATACCTTAAACAAAACAAAGATAAAAATTGCTTATAACAATAGTATATAGTATATGTATACATGCAGTATACATATAGTATGTACATATTTAGTATATATATATATGCAATAATAATAATTACTTTTTACAATGTTAAACAGATACAGTTAAAGAAAGAGAATCAAAAAGTATCTAATGACACCAATGAAAGAAAAAGACAGAAGGAATTAAAAAGACAAAGAATGAGGCAATTAAAACAAGAAAATCTGTTTGAGGACAAAATGATTAAACAGTTAGAAAAACAATTGAAATTAAACAAACGGAAGAGTAAATCTATACCAAAATCCTTTGCTGCAGATGGTTTAGATTGTATCCTTTGTAATTTTGTAATTTTTTATATTGCATTGATTATTTCTACACATTAAATATATATTCAGCACATTTTTTTTATTTAAACTTATACATAAAAATAATATATATGTTTATATTTCAGAATGCATTTAAAACAAACATGATACACATATTAATTATTATGTATATATTTTGTGTAATTCTATACTTATAAGTATTTGGTAGTAATGCAGGACATTAAAGTTTTAAACTTATTTTGAAATATATATTTACTATTTTACTAAAAATTTATATGAAAAGTACTTTTGCAAATTATTGGGAGATATATATTGATGTTATAAATACAATATATATATTGTATTGTATTTATAAGTTGTCCCTTAACACCTTTATAGATATTTTGGATTTCTGTGACTCAGAGAATAGGAGTCATGTGGTAGAAACTGAAAAACAATTACTAGAAACTGGACTGAGTACAGAATTTGAAGAGGATTTGAACATGGCTATTGGTGAAGATGATAGTGAAGATGAACATGATGAAGAAGAGAACATAGATGATAATGAAAATTCCAAACAGAATTTAGATGATAGTGAGGATTCAGAACAGAACATACATGATAATGAGGATTCTGATCAGGATATGGAGAATGGAAGTGTCTTGTCTGATAAGGATTTGGAATTAGATAATAATGAAGATATGTCTTCAGAGGAAACAAATAGGATAAATGTAAAATCTAAGAGTTATCCAAAAAATATCAAGGATGAAATAGAGAATGAAAATTCAAGTTATAGTGATGATGCATCAGAACAGTCAGACGATAGCAAAGGCTTATGGGAGGATATTTATGGCAGGCAGAGAGACAAAAAGGGCAACATTATATCAAATAAATATGTACCACCTGCTGCACGTGTTGCAAACACAGATATCTCTGTTGACAGTGAAAAAGCTCGTAGATTAGAAAAACAACTTAAAGGTATTTTAAATAGATTGGCCGAGCAGAACATGTATACTATTGCAAATCAGGTAATTTTGTTGAGTGTATATAAACTGCTAAATATAACTGTTAAATGTAACAGTTAAATATAATTGTAATCGTAAATTAATAATTTAATTATAAATTACATATTTCTATTAAAAAGATTCAATTATTAATTGTTAACAAGGTTGTTACATGAATATTTATTGCAGGTAGAAGAGATGTACATGTCAAACAGTCGTAATGATATGAATGTAATGTTATCCAAGCTAATGATGGAAGCTATAATTGCACCAATACTAACACCAGATCGGCTTATCTCCGAACATATGATGTTAATCGCTGTACTACATGCAAATGTTGGCACAGAAGTTGGCGCGCATTTTCTGTTGACTACTGTAAAAAAGTTTGATCAGATGTTGAACAAATCTCATAGTGTCGAGAATAAAGAATTAGATAATATAATCCTTATGATATCGCATCTTTATAACTTCAAAGTAATATTCTTAAAAATTCTATTAACTTTTTTTAAAAACCAAAATATGATTATAATTCTGAAATTTTTCCTTTTGTTATAGGTATATGGTCATTGTCTTTTATATCAGATATTAGGAAAGCTATCAGTAAAATTCACAGAGAAAGAAATCGAATTAATTTTACTGATTTTAAGGACAGTGGGCTTTCTGTTGAGGAAAGATGATCCTCTTGCATTAAAAGAACTTATATTAAATTTGCAACAAAAAGCAAATCACGTCACACAGGAAAAGTAAGCTTTAGTTATTACGAGTATAAGTATATATTCTAGTTTATGTTGCTTTAATATTGCTTTTTCTACCTAATTATTTTATAAATCTGTATCTGTATTCTTACCTGATATTTATTATCATTACCAATATAGTTCAAGGATTAAGTTTATGTTAGATGTATTATTGGCGATAAAGAATAATAACATGAACAAAATACCCCAATATGATCCAACTCGTGTAGAACATTTGAGGAAAATTCTGAAAAGTTTCATTCATAAAGGCAACAGTGTTACACAATTCAATGTAACGCTAGAAGATTTATTAGAAGGTATGTCTGTGCATAAAAATTGTATATATAATATTAAGAAAAAAAAATGGTTGTATTATCTTTAAGTTTTTAAAGAAATACCAGAATTATATGTTACTTATTTGATCTTTTTCCATAGCCGATGAGAGAGGAAAATGGTGGGTAGTAGGATCAGCTTGGTCTGGTCTCAAGGATATTGGTAAATTAGAGAAAACTTCAGAGAACAACCAACAAAAATATAGCGGAAAATTATTAGAACTGGCACGGAAGCAGAGAATGAATACTGATATCAGAAGAGATATTTTTTGTGTTCTCATGACAGCTGAAGATTATTTAGACGCATTTGAGAAGATTCATCATCTCGGCTTGAAAAATCAGCAACAGAGAGAAGTAATTTATGTCGTTTTTAGTTGTTGCATTCAGGAGAAAAAATTCAATCCTTATTATGCTATATTGGCGCAAAAATTATGTGATTCTGATAGGAAATATCAGGTATGTGAGCATAATTTTATGAATAAAATTATACTTCTGTTGTTTATCAATCAAATATTGTAGTTGGTCTAATGATTACTAATGATTACTAATAATTATTTGTTATAGTTAACTATACAATATGCACTGTGGGATAAGTTGAAAACATTGAACGATTTGACTACAAAACAGTTGACAAATCTGGCAAAATTTTTAACTCATCTATTTTTAGAAAAGGGTCTTCCTCTTTCCGTTTTAAAGGTATACGAATATCTATTATATATTTCCTATTCTTACTTCTTATGACATTTATTATCATGTTGTATTTAATTCTGATAATTACAGGTGATTCAATTTACTGAATTAGACAAGTTAACTATGAGACTTGTACGACAGATTATGCTGGGAATACTATTGTATGAAAATGGGGAGGCTTGCTTAGAAGTGTTTGAAAGAATATCACAATCTCCAAAATTGCAGACTTTCAGGGAAAGTCTTAGATTATTCATAAATCATTTTCTTGTAAAAAATATTTGCGCCACTGAAAAATTACAGAAACAGAGTGTGTTGTTGCAAAAACGAGTCGAACTTGTAGATAAAGTTTTAAGTACTCGAGAATCGAAAGTTATATTTTAAAAGTATTTTAGTATATGTACATAGAGGAATCTTAAGGCATCAAGAAGCATATAATTATTAACTGTACATATCATTTTTAAACAAATGACAATACACGTCATAGTTTTATATAAATGCACTATAAAATTATACATTTCTTGTAACTTTATTTACCAAAAATCACATATAGTAAGTGAAACTATAGAGTAAAATCACATACAGTAAGTGAAACTAAGGCATTCTTGCATTGTGCAATACAAATTAACAACTATATATATAAATATGTGATAAGGGCACACTGTGAGTCTTTGTCAGATATTCGTACGTATGTATATTACTGTATACATACATACTGCATGTATACTACTGTAATTAATGGAATGTTAGGTTGAGACGCGATACAAACATTACTGATTTCCAAAGGTTTGCATACACAGCTTGTATTTATTCTCATATTTACTATCTAGCGGACCGGTGCAGCCGTATCCGCCCAATCGATGAATACGCAGATAATCGTCGCAATCGATCACTCCATTTCCGGTACAGTCCTATTTAATACAAATATACAATAACTTTTATATATATATATATATATATATATATATATATATATATATATATATATATAAAAGGGGATAGGATAATATCAATGAAGATATACAAGCAAAGAATCTGAACTAGATGCCAGAATTGATCTTACCTGACCGAATCTAGCCATATATCCTTCTATCGCTCTAGCAGCGCAATAAGGATCGTTGACACATTGCTGATAAGCTAATAAAGGAGAGAAAAATATTATTACAAAGTAATATTAATTAATATCAATATTTATCAAACGATGGTAGTACTGTGACGTCACAAGTTAATAATAACTTACATTTGTCATTCACTGGTTCGTTGTTTAGAGTCGGTTTGCCAGCGTCGGACCAGTAGCCCCATGTTATAGCGAAAGGTCCGCATACCGAATCGTAGCAGCCGATAGTAGTGTTACATCCTGATGTAACTTCGCATATGCAACCTAAGCAGGTTTGCGAAACGATTTGACGGGGAGACTGTTGAGCTGCAAAAAGAAAAGTGTAAAACGTTATCTATGCAAATCAATTTTAATATTTTACCCAGCCTAGCGTACTTTACATACATAGAATGATTCGTCAAAGGATAACATAGCGGAATATCTCTTTTAGCAATATGATATATTAAAGATAGATATTTAAGAACTCTTAGTAGTCCTAAAAATAGTCAAAACTCTTAAGATTTGTCAAAAACATAACCGTGACGTAGAATGTTCTCTTTTTGTTAAGAATTTACGACAGACTGGAATTTAATCTGACTGTTTAAGGCGACGCATCTTCAACGCTCGCCGTAAAGTCATAATAAGAGAACATCAAAAGTAAAGTGGACCAGTCGTCCGTTGAGTCGTCCGAAAGTCCCTACAATCGAGGCGGCATTTTCGGTGTGACGTGACACACTCACCTGTGGTATATATTTTGCCTGAACGCGCGCGATTGTTTCGCAGCGTCACAGTTAAAAATATAACTCAAGCCAACATGAGAATTTTGATTACAGTCTATACGAATGAGCACCATAAACGGCTACGATGGGGAATGGCATGTCATTTGCATTTTCGCATTCAGATCTTATTTTGCGTTATGCAAAATGTATACATTGATTATAAACCGAATGCTTGATGTCAATCTAATGAAAAGACTGATATTCTACTTGCGCAGAGAGAAACAAAACTTTCTTAGAAAATATGAGGAACGTTCGATGTTATTCAATCGAGATAAGAAAGAGACATATCTTCGTAATGCTAAACAGTTTCCTTTAGACGAACTTTAACGATGAGAATGAAGGATAATTAAATCACTTCTGACACAGAGTCAGAATATAATCGGATTATCTTATGACTCCCACTATAGTTGGGCGCGGCAAATCACCGTGGCAAATAAAGCACTTCAGGGTCTTTTCAAGTCCTTTGGACTGTCAAGTGCAGACGCAGAAGAAGACAACCGTTTGAATTTTTCTTTGTCATAATCGAAGTGCTAAATTGCATAGAGGTAACTTCTAAAATATACTTTGTTCATAATCGGGCGAGTTCGTTTCATGGTTGAAATATTTTCATCATATCAATTATTAGTAAATGCCACAGCGCTATGCTTAATAGAACTATCAAAGGCAATTTACTAGAAAATGTAGTTGTCTCGAGCGGTCACACAAAAATAATCAAACGTATTTTCCTTGAGTCATTATTTTTATTTTGATTTCATCGCAGTTCGCGTCGGTCGCATCATCGGATTTCTTCTTAACGTTGTGAATTATTGTTTCTACATGCACCACTGTTAAATGTGTTTACTGAACGCTAATGACAAACAATATAACAATTATAAAATTTAGACTAGTTGGTCAGACATATTAAGTCGAATGATTTTTTTATTTCTAATACATTAGAGACGTATTGTATGCTATGCTATTATGTGCTATGCACATATACGTTTGTATGCCACACACGTTTCATTAGATCTAAGGTTCAACTTTCTAATTAGACTTTTTGTCAAGGACCGATGAATCATATTTTCAGTGTTAATATCAACTCATAGAGGAAAGCTTGGCCTTCGAAAGAGGTGGAAAAATGCTCGCGAGGCCAGCCAATGTAATGCGTGACGGTCAGGGACTCTAGCATGGACATAGATCTTTTTTTAACAACACGAAGACGCAGACTGTTATTAACAGTACACGGATATTAAGAGTTCTCGGAATTAGTGGTGGTCTGATCCGACGAGAAAGAAACCGACCAGATTTCTATCAAAGTTCAACGAGAAAGATTTTTTTAAGAATTCTTAATTTTCGAGATTAAACATGAATCATCATTGACTATTTTTTTTACTGTTCATATTTTTTTAACAACACGAAGACGCAGACTGTTATTAACAGTACACGGATATTAAGAGTTCTCGGAATTAGCGGTGGTCTGATCCGACGAGAAAGAAACCGACCAGATTTCTATCAAAGTTCAACGAGAAAGATTTTTTTAAGAATTCTTAATTTTCGAGATTAAACATGAATCATCATTGACTATTTTTTTTACTGTTCATCTTAAATATATTATGATGTATCTCTGGTTTTATCCGATTAGACGCTTTCAGCAAATTGCGAAAAGTACTCCGCGAATTTCACGTATGTAACAATGTCTGCTTATTTCAAATTTCTAATTTAGATTATTGCAATTAATTTATTAATTATAGTAATCGTGCTAGAAAAACGAATATAAATTGATGACGTAGCTCACCGTAAATGCAAATGCAGAGCAATGCGAGCGTAGTCGCGACGATCCATGAGACTCTCACGAACATCTCGGAAATGTGCCGCTGCCGATCTACAAGGAACAACGTCTACCACCGCACTGCGCTCGTCTCTGAAGACACCGTCGATCGACGCGAGAAGATCCGCGCTTTCGCATCGTCCTCGGGTGATCGCTTTCTTATATACGGCGATAGCAGCCGCGAATGCCGCGCGACGCAGAGACGATGAGGATACGAGGACACAGAGAAGAGCGGGGCGAGGAAGAACACATCACATTTGGGAAGTGGTCGAAGGACAGGAATTTCGTCGTCGTCATCGTTGTCATCGTGATCTGAGGCAAAGGATAAAAAAAACGGAACTGCGAAAATAGAAACTGCTGGCCAAAAACGAGCGGTTGGTTAATGTCCTACGACGGTCCTCAAGATTATTGCTGATCACGTCTCACCCTCCAAGTGAGATTTTTTATTCACAGCAGAGGCATTAAAGAGCGTGATATGCTTTCAAAGGAAGTCCTGAGAGATACAAGGGTCAGATAATTTCGAGAAAATGGCCCAAAGTATCGTCTTTCAAAGAAGAAATATCCTTCAAGCATCTTTGCAATACAGAGATACTTAATTGCTGTCAGAAACCTGAAAATTAATCATTTTGTAAAATTTATTGCAATATGTGAAAATTCTGAAATAACACAGGTGATTAATGATAATTCATCCACGTGAATCGCACGAGAAGCATTCGTAATTAAAGATATAATCCTGAATAGAACTTATGAAAGGTACATATATCCTTAGATTATTCTGATAATTATTGAATGCACGTACATATTACGTGTCTTAACTTCTAGAATTAGTCACTGTGTAATAATTTATTAGTAAGGAAACGTGTAAGTTTCCACTTTGTTACGCCCTGGTCTCGTATCCTGTCATAGTTCTTATCGCACTTTTTTAATAACGCAACTATTAAACGCCTCCATCTTTATTTCAAGATCTGCCAAGCTCGGAAATGCTATGCGAAATGGGAGGTCATAATATGTCATGATATAACGATCTGCGGAAGAGATGCAAAAATGAAGAGGAATGTTGGAACCTAATCCTGCACATTTCACGATAGTAAACCTTGAAAACCTTAATCCTGCGGTCCCTAATGCGCTTTCTAACACAGAACATCTGCGTCAGGCGCGTCATTATCTTACAATCCGCAACAGAAATGCGAAGACCGCGACACAACCGGATCCAAGTTCAATGTCAATGGCCTAAGCGCGACGCGCTGGTGTCACTCGTCGACGAACTTACAATCGATACCTTCCTCGAGAACGAGTTTGTAAAGGTAACGAAGGGCAGGCGCGAAACAAAGAGTCTCTCGCTCGCAACGATGAAGAGAATCCACACAGCAGAAGTGTCCAAAATATATCACAGGGATATCCTAAAGATATATTTGGGATATGCGATATCTTCAAGATATCCTTATGATATATTTGGGACGTTCCTACTGTGTGGGAATGTTATCAATCATCAGTTCGCTCGGATTTGTCACAGTGACCGACGCGGTTGCAAAACGAAAAAGAAGAAACGAGGAAACTTTACTTTTGTTTTCCTTGTTGAGAAGAATTGAAGATATGTATGCGTGACAGATATATAATATATATGTATCATGTCGACAGCAACTATCTTGTTGTTCTTGCGCCGATAAAATCGCTGAAATTCCCGTTACATCATCGCGCAAGCGACATAACGTGTGTAAAATTCTCGCGTCTCACTTTACGATATCTCTAATTCGCTTCCTGTAATCTATACTACTGATATATCTATAGCTACTGGTTTTTCCGTTATAAAGCCCGCAACGAATGTCGCGCGTCACGACGCGGAAGTTCTCGCTGAAGTTACCGAAGAATTCTAAAAATGCTCTCGGAGCATGCGTTCTAAAATTCAGTGAAATAATTTGGAATTTATCAGATCAATCGTTTTATTACTGGAATTACTGTAATTAATGTATTTACGAATGTATTTACGAATAATACATAGTATCAGCGAACTTGATAGATGCGTGAAGAATACGAAGAAATATTTTTCTATCATAATAGCATGATAATACTGTCAAATGTGTCGAAATCGAAGAAAAATGTTCTATCAATTAATCAAATCTTGGATTGAAGTGCGAATATCTCGACAGACGTTAATGCTTTCCGATTCCACACCGCGGAACTCTGAATTGATTACATCAGAAATGAGAAAGTACATGTCAAAAAATCTTGTGTTATTTCTAAATAAAGATATTCGTACGAAAGAACACTTTTCTGGTCGCTAAACATACTTGTAAAATGCTCCGACAATCCTTTTCCGTTGACAGTCAATAAATTGTAATAAATTTGTAATAAATTTCAAAGTATGTTACAAGTATACTTGGACAATCAGAAGTGTCCTTTCGTACAAATATTTTTTTATCTGGAAATTGTTACAAGAATTTTGGACATATATTTTCTCGCTTATGACGTCATCAATCCAAAGTTTCGTAAATAGTACTCAAACGCTTTCATTTCCGAGAAATTGGATACGAAGATTCGATTGTGAGTTGAAGGTCGGTTTGTTACACTTGAAACTGATAATCGTTGCGTAATGATTCTGACGTGTATATTCTCTGAAAAATATCTCCAGTATAAAAATCAATGTCTCGTTACGCTTAGAAGCGAAGTTTCAATTGTATTATATATTGCATTTTATTTGTGTCGATTGATATAGAATTTTCTCTAACGACGCAGCTGAATGTACATAAAGATACGCTAAGATAAAAATTAACATTTACGTGTCGTATGATGTGGTATGAACGCCCACTTGGTATTGAAGTAGGTATTAAAATAAATACACTCTCAATGAAGCTTCTCAGTATTGTATTACTCTCGAAGACTGCACTAGGAATTCTTCGGGTGTATTAAGTAACAAATTATATGTACAAACAATTAATATTTATTAATTTCATATTAAAAGTAATGAGCTGTTTTTGTTTCTTAGATTTTATTGAACGAAGCAATGTCTACAGATTGAACTAGATCCTCAAATTCTTGAATCTGTTCCATCAACAAGTCCACAGACACTTTTTCATCTTCTATCACGCACATGATCTGCAACTTGTTTATGCCGTAACCGACTGGGACAAGCTTTGCTGCAAATGATAAAAAGCTCACACTTAGTTATATTGTTTGCACACAATATATAGACATATTATTGATAGATATCATTAAGAAATATATCCATAGAGTGCTCAAGTGTGAAGACTTACATGCACCCCATACGAGACCATCCTGCTGGATAGATCTCACTTTATTTTCCATTTCTTTCATATCCGTCTCGTCGCCCCAGCTCTTCACATCCAGTACGATGCTCGACTTGGCGATTACCGTGGGCTTCTTCGATTTCTTCTCCGCGTACGCCTTTAGCCTTTCCTCCCTGACCTTCGCGGCTTCTGCGTCCTCTTCGTCGTCCGAACCGAACAAATCCAGGTCATCGTCGTCCTCGTTCGCCTTTGCTGCGGACGAAACCGGAGCGCTAGCTGCACTGAAGATAGCGGGGGCTTTCTTTTCGCCGGGTAGTGCCTTAAGATCGTACGACTTTATGTGGTTGTACCAACGGAGAACATGAGGATTCGAAGACGACGGTGCTTTCCCAAGTGCCTCAAGTACTGCAACATCGGCCTGAGTTGGTTGCCACCTATCGGATGTAAGTTCTTCTATATAATATATTTTGCATTAAAAATGATCTTTACTGTATTGACTCAATTGAATTTAGGGGATTTATTTATTCCAAAACACTTAAAATTATACATTAACATTTAATGTAATATTTATCACATAAGTAAAACACATCTATAGTGAAGGTTTCATACGATTTGTCTGCACTGTTCATAAAAGATCTAATATTGAATATTGCTGCAACTTTGCACATTCATCACTTTTCTTTAATTAATAATTCCAAATTTTACCTGGTTATTTGCAAAATAGTAAAGGAATTTTTTGTTCAGTTTGACCTAATTTACATGTACATGAAAGTTTTATATGTATTATCAGATATCCTATGTATACATGTTCTCAGATGGTACATATAATTAAGTAAATTCAAAGTTTCAATTTTATTAATGGACAAGAAAATTTATTTCCAAAATTAATAGCAATACTAAAATTCAATATAAAAATTGTTATGGGCAATATATATAAAATTCAATATGTATCTTACAACTTTATCAGTATTCTTATTATGAATACATTTTTAAAATATAAATAATAAATATATAAATAAAAAATATAGGGGGATATTTAGTATATAGTTACAGTCCCTCTTGCATAAAATTCTAATAAATACTTTAACTAGAAAAGATCTGGTCTACTTTCTCATGTAACATGAATATTCCTCATCTTGCATTATATATATATATATATATATATATATATATATATATATATATATATATCTACATCAAATACAGAAAGAATAATATATGTGCGACAAATATAGAACATAGTCTAATTTGCGTGAGCAAATATTAAATATTTCTCTTGTTTTCATGCATATGCCATGTATACAGTAATCATCAAGTGTATGATCAAGAAATGCAGTGGGTGTGTTATCAGAGAACTCACAGAGCAGGTTTTAGCTAGAAAGTTCATAAAAAAAAACACACAAGAAAGACCAACGGAAAGACTGTGCGAAACGTTTCGGCGGACATAAAAATAAATGCACAAGGTACATCGTACGACCGCCTCCGTGTGTATGCGTATTGTCTGTGTGCCACACATCCATACGTGACACTGGAACGTTGCTATCTACCGCATGGTATGAAGATCAACAACTACATACGAATATGTCGAATATTCGTATGACGACAGGATTCAGGCTCCTGTCTGCAAGAAGTAGCGAGCGATACTAAGCCTAAGGCAAGGAAAATCACCCAGCAAGATGCCGACAAGCGGAGCACGTGTACCGGAGACGTGGATCGCACGGAAGTATGCTAGAAGTAGACTCACCCGTCGACGTAACTACGATCGGCGAGATAGATGTTGAGATCCTTGACGCCCTTGTCGGTCTTCAAGTCACCGATAGCCATGGCTGGAGTATGTCCTGAACGTGTAAATATTTGACGGAAAACAGGACGTTCAGCGGGGGACCCCTTCGTCTAGTGGATCGCCGGAAGAGAGAGCTACGTGCGACAGTAGAGGCCACCGCGGTGGTACGACCCGGTTCAAGTATTACAACTTGAGCGGCGACGTGACGTTTGTTCCGGTACGGTTATTCTTCCTTCGGCGGCGACGCGGGCGGACTCGCATGACAACGACGACAACACCGTGACAGTCCGCTTCCTTAGAGTACGTTCAGATTTCCTACCCGGGTTCACTCTAAAGGCTGGTTTATGATGACCGTAATCCGTTAACTTATGCCGGAATCGTAAAAAATTGACTAATCACAGTCGATTATTCTTCTATAATTAGACTATGATTGGTCAATTTTTTACGGTTCCGGCATAAGTAACGAATTACGGCTATCATAAACCAACCTTAATACTAGAAGTGCTATAGTATATGTAACATATCTATAGCGTTTCTAGCATGGACGTAGGAATATCTGAACGGAGCGTAAAGTATTTTTATGCCATCTTTAGTGATCAAAAGTGACACACACACACACACACACACACATATATATATATATATAATATATATACGTGACGTGAACTGTAGATAAATATGCACATATACGTGAAACGGAACGCGGCCTAGATACACCCCATCTTTTAATATACGCTCCAAAGCGTTTGCAACTTCAAACGGACCCAACCCTCACTTTCTTGTAATGAGCGACAAAAAATAAAATAATACTTTTAGCATGACTTTCAGCGTACTAAATAGTAACTTTCTATTAGATAATCTTAATATTAATATTTATAATCTTAATATCGACAATGCATATCAACGGCGACGCATTCAATCAATACAATATGTTTTGTTGATGAATATTATACCAGCTTAATATACCGTTGTTTATATATATCGTCGATATTAATAGCATGTTCGAATGTCTCTGAGTTATTCAGTCTACGTTTATTGGTCGAACAAATACTTATAAGCTTTATAATTGGCTAGTAGAGACTTATGACGTCATAATCGCTCTCGGAGCAATTAACCCAGAGCCAGTTGAACACACTGTAAGATTATCTAATAGAAAGTTATTATTTAGTTACTATTTAGATTATCTAATAGAAAGTTACTATTTAGTACATGTATCAAGTGCACGATGTAAGCCATTGAATGTTAAACAAAAATAGGATGATATCCGCGTCTACACGATCGCCAAATGAAATTTACTTTTTATTTCATCAATTAAAATATCAAATTTTCGTGGTAAAACAAGTTATTCCCTAGTTTTTAAGCAAAATCATTGGTCCAGAGGCGATGGGGCTATATATACGCGTTAACGCAAATCAAGCGACACATTTGTGGTCTGTTCTTTTTAGCTGTACTGCTGAACTGGTGCAATAAGTTAGAATGAGATAAATATATTTTTTCTCACTTTAACTTATTGCACCAGTTCAACAGTACAACTGAAAAGAACAGACCAAATATTTCTTAATCGGACTCGCCATTGCTCATCATGAGCTCAATCGGTGGTGTAGGAGTTTTCTGACATCTAGAGAAGGTATCTACACCAAGAGATAGCTGTGATCATTTTATTTGTTAGATTTAGATCGTAATTCTTCTGTATAAATATATGATGTAGTTATCAGGATATCTTATAATACAAATTTAATCTTTTTTTCGAGACAGATTTCACTTCTTTCTTTTGCTCAGATTAGGTTAATTCGCCATCTTTCAATTGATCGTACAGCAAAGTTTATTTATTACATAATAAAAAGTAACCGATGTTGATAGTTTAGTCTGACAAGATGTTGCGACTACCGGTCGTGCGGGCCACAAGCCTGGCAAGTGGGAGATTTTATGCTGTCAGTTTTCACACTACATCCAACAAATCTCAGCAGGAATTGATTGAACTTTTCATCGATGATAAACCTGTACAAGTGCCACCGGGAACAACAGTCTTGCAGGTGTGTATTAGTTTTTACAATTTCTTTCACTTGTTTTTCTTTGTTTGCCACAACTAATATGATACAACACTTCCAGATCTTATATGTATAAAATTTTATGTTAAACATTTTTATATAAAAATATCAATATACGTATCTTTTATAAACAACAGACAATATTAAAGTAATATTGAACTAACTACAGGTAAACTTTTTAAAGATCTCTATTATTAGCCTATAATAATATTGTGCAATATTATGCAATTAATGTTACTTGCTTAATACTAAAAAATATTCTTGTTTCTCTGATAACATTACAAATATCAAATTTTGTACAAATGAAACTTTTATTTATAAATGATAAAAGTTTACTCCTAAAACTTGTTTTAAAGATAAATGTTATTTCTAGTAGTTTAAGATAGATCTTGATAATATTTATATAACAACGGAAAATTGTATTTTAGGCTGCTGCCAAGGTAGGAGTTGAAATACCAAGATTCTGTTATCATGAACGGCTTGCTGTTGCTGGAAATTGTAGGATGTGTCTTGTTGAGATAGAGAAACAAGTCAAAGTATGTGATACAATAAGATATGTGAAAAAATAGAAACTATAAAGATTAATAATATTTATTAATAAATTCTTTTAAATCCATTTGCAGCCAATTGCTGCATGTGCTATGCCAGTAATGAAAGGCTGGAGAGTAAAAACCAACTCTGATATAACGCGGAAGGCTCGCGAAGGTGTTATGGAATTTTTATTGGTTAATCACCCACTAGACTGTCCAATTTGTGACCAGGGTGGAGAATGTGATCTACAAGATCAAAGTATGGCTTTTGGGACTGATAGGAGTAGGTTTGTTGATATTAACTTTTCTGGAAAAAGAGCAGTGGAGGATAAAGACCTTGGGCCCTTAGTCAAAACAGTTATGACACGTTGCATACATTGCACAAGGTGTATTCGATTCGCTTCGGAAGTAGCAGGTATTGATGACTTGGGAACTACAGGTCGTGGTAATGATATGCAGGTACATTTATATATTTATATAATAAGTGTACATTGTGTTAACTTGTAAACAAAATTATTCTATGATTTATATAACAATTATAAAAAATGGTAATATATATTAAAGGTGGGGACATATATTGAGAAAATGTTCTTATCAGAATTATCGGGAAATATCATTGACCTTTGTCCAGTGGGTGCATTGACTAGTAAACCATATGCATTTGTTGCTCGCCCGTGGGAGACTCGTCGTACTGACAGTATCGATGTTCATGATGCCGTCGGTAGTAACATAGTTATCTCTCATAGAACTGGTGAAGTTTTAAGAATACTACCAAGAGTGAACGAGGTTAACATTATTATCATATCATATTGTTATAATACGTCTGCAGCAAATATTTTAAAAAGACAATTTTCTAACGTACTTAATAATAATTATCGGTTTATTATTAATTTATAGGAAGTAAATGAAGAATGGCTCTCGGATAAGGCTCGTTTTTCATATGACGGACTCAAAAGACAACGGCTTATTACACCAATGATGAAGATTAAGGGAAAGTTAGAAGCTGTAGATTGGGAGGATGCACTTATCGCCGGTAAGATTAATTAACGTCTATTATAAATGTGTATCTTTATTAAATCCACTTTGCCTCTTGGGTGTTTGCAATAACGTCTTTCACGATGATTAGCTGCCAAGTCATTAACGAATGTACCAGCGGACAAATGCGCCGCAATTACTGGTAAAATGGCAGACGCAGAAGCTCTTGTCGCCATGAAGGACTTGGTGAACAAATTAGGCAGCGAGGGGCTAGCTACAGAACAGTGTTTCCCAAAAGATGGTTCGGGTATTGATCTCAGAAGTAGCTATCTCTTGAACAACACCATTGCCGCAATTGAAGATGCAGATGTTGTGGTATTAATCGGTACAAATCCAAGGTATGAGGCACCACTGGTGAACACGCGTCTCAGAAAGGGTCACCTACATGGTGAACAAACAGTCGCCCTCATTGGCCCAGACGTAGATCTAACGTACAATCATGAGGTACAGATTCTTATTTATTTTTTGCATTACATTTATTATACGGTATTGTCCTACAAAATGTAAAATTTCCTTTCATATGCAGCATTTGGGGGAATCTTTCGACGTAATAATGAAACTGCGAAATGGCTCGCATCCGTTTTGCGCGACTTTGAAAGAGGCCAAGAAACCACTCGTTATCTTAGGTACTGAACAGTTATCTCGAAAAGACGGAGCAAAAATTCTTTATGAGACGCAGGAATTGGCGAAGACTTTAGGAGATAACACAAAAGTAACTTACTGTCTTTTAGTCTTTCCTACTTATACCATAATTTTATGGAAATTACAATAACCATTAATTTTGCTTTAGACTCCTCAGGACTGGAAGATCTTAAATATCTTGCATACAAACGCTTCTCAAGTTGCTGCTTTAGATATCGGATATGGCTCGACGGTAGAAGAGATTAAACAACAACAACCGAAAGTTCTGTTCCTTCTGGGTGCTGACGATGCGAATATCAAAAAAGAAGATTTCCCGAATACATTTATCATTTATATAGGTATATATATAATAACGTCGATGCTTAAGATAGTATATTCTATTCATCTTGTATTTAAGATCTTTTTAATTTTTTAATTAATTTATATACACATACATACATGTGTGTGTATGACTTTTGATTAAATCATCAACTCTAATTAATAAATCTTATGTCTGTAGGAAGTCATGGTGATGCTGGAGCGGCCATTGCAGATGTTGTGCTCGCTGGAGCAGCGTATACCGAAAAAGTCGCAAGTTATGTTAATACAGAAGGTCGTTCTCAACAAACGTGTGCAGCACTTACACCACCTGGCTTAGCACGTCCAGATTGGAAAATCATACGTGCGCTTTCTGAAGTAAATAAATTCATATAATAATCTTTATATAATATTTAAATTACTAAGTGAAATATAATTGTACATTATGTTCAATTATTATAGATGGCTGGCGTTACTTTACCCTATGATAATTTGAACGATATAAGATCAAGACTTGAAGAAATTGCACCTCATTTGGTTCGATACGGCGACGTTGAACCAGCTAATTTCTTCACACAAGCTTTAGAAATGGCTAAGGTTTGTATTATGATTTGGTATATAATTAAACCAAACGATTTTTTCCGATAAAGAAGTCATATTTGATATTAAATTTAAGAAAATTCAATCAATTAAGAATAAGATCATGAATATATTTATTTGATTGCAATTTAATATTTTAAACGTTGAAATAACGGTAATATCTACATATATTGCTTATAATGTATGTATAGCAACAATCTGGAGGATCATTTCTACCAGACCCTGTGGATATTAAACAAAAAACATTGGATCAGTTTTTTATGACTGACGTAGTATCACGAGCGTCTTTAACTATGGCGAAGTGCGTTCAAGCAGTCATGAAACAACGACAAAGTGCAACATAAATATCCAACATAGTATTTGACAAAACTCTCAACCGCTAGTTATTCGATAAGAGACTGGCTGAATATTATGACATCCTGCAGCCAGTTACAAAACTAATTACAGGAACATCAAAAAACATGAGATGTATTTGTAAAAGTCTGTATATTAAACAATACTACTAAGAATGGGATATTATTTGCGAATATTGATCTTATTAGTCCCGCTTAAAATTGTATAATTTAAGTTGTAGTTATAATAAAAAAAAATATATATATATATAAGTTATTTAAAATAAATATAATAAATTTATTTTCTTGAATAATTTTTTTATAAATATCTTTTTCATAGATTGCACGAACATTACATTGAACATATTTTATCTCAATACTAACATACACATGATACATTTTTATAATAATTATATCATTGTTAGCAAGTTTACTTACATACTAACATACTAAAATACTAACACACATGATACATTTTTATAATAATTATATCATTGTTAGCAAGTTTACTGAGCACCTGAATATATATTAGAACATAATTATACAAAATTATAAAGGTGTGTAATTACATTTTTCCGTTTAAAAAATATTCACTATTGAAATATTTCTAAAAACAAGAATAATATTTATTTATAATTGTGTGCAACACATTATTATATACGTTTTGTAAATATATTCTACATTTTCGTACTATATATTTATGACACATAAGATGAAATCTTAGAAAAACAGGACTTGTTAAAAGCAGAATTTGCTTATTAATTTATATGAAAAAAACATCGATTAAAATATTTCAGTTACTTGATTCTGGTTGATCATCCGTATCAGGTTCACCGGAACTTTCATCAGACTCGATCTAAAGAGAAGTCACGTTTTATTTATTTACTACACATAAAAAAACAAATGTAAAACGTACCTTGTCTCCTAATTCGACTAGTCTTTCTTTATATCGAGTAATTTTATTATCTTGATCCGTTAAAAGTTCTAAAAGATCTTCCTGGTCCTTCTTCAATCTTTCAATTTCCTCTGTCTTCAATTTTAATTCATACTCAAATTCTTTTATTCGATTAGAATCATCTAACTCTTTCTTTTCAGTGTCCTTATTTTTGTGCTCTTGTGCTACATGTGAATATTCCGCTAAACGATTTTCTAAATCTACAACCATCGTTTTGTACATTTGTAGTTCCTTCTCCAATTGTCCTATATCATTATTAGAAGTAACAATTTCTTTTCCGTCTCCTATATTTGCTTGCGCAGCTCGAAGAACCAAGTTTTGGTCTCGTAAATGGCTAACAGTCGATCGAAGTGTTTGTACTTCTGCCTGCAATAGTATTAAAAATTAATGTGTGGATACAATACATTTCTATAAACTTTATTATTAAAAAAAATATTTTATACTTCAAGTTCTTCATTCTTCTTTGTAAGAGAATCATGAGTTTGATTTAGCTGTTGTTTTAGCTGTTGAATTTGTATATCTTGCTCCCTAATAAGATCCTTATATTGTGAAACTAGTGTGCTATCAGATAAACTCATCATAGATAATTGATTTTTATTCTGATGTTCACTATTAGCATCTATCACTGATTTTATTACGACACCTAATAAGAAGAAAAATACCATCTTGAAAGTTTTAATTTATTTTATATTATCGCCGCGCGCGCGTTAAAGGATTTTAAATATTAAATTTCTTTATATTGTGACCAATGCAATGTTATATATGAATACCTTCTAAACTTTTTAGTAGTCTGCAAAATTCATGATCTAGTAAAAGTTCAGACGGTTTTTTGGCTGAAGGTTGTGGGTGTTTTAGTGTTCTAGAATATATTTCATGTCTGGCGATACCGCCGATTGCATCTTGAAATTTTTCCAAACCTATTCTATTCTCGATCAAGTTACATACTTTTTCCTACAGGATAAGAATGAAAAATTATATCACATATTTACTACTTTATCTTGATTGATATAGATGTTTTTTATACGCACCTTGGTGTATATAGATATACTATCATCGTTAAAATGTACGCAAATACCGATAAGTAAAGCGCACATACTGTGCAATAAAGTCTCTTGTAAATCTTCGTTATTTTCTTGCGACGATAGAAGGGCTGTTAAATATGCTACTGAAGAGTCAATAGCTAGGAACGACTTGACTGCGAGTGGACAATACGAGGTCCATCGACAAAGTAAAATCAACAGACCCAATTTACATTGCGTCTTGTTACCTTGCTGCAACAACATAACACATTGTTGCATAAGCGTTACCGGTGGCTTTCCGATATTGGTCGCGAGGAGCACCCTCAAGAGTTGCTCCTTTTGACTTATATTTTCAATCAAGGCATGAGATAATGCCACAGCAGAGAACCAATTTGACAAAGAATCTGTAGAGAACAATCCACCACACAGCAATTGTCCTAACAACAAATATATATAAAACAGTTTTATATAGTTCCACTTTAGAAACTATTTTCATATCTTGTAAATCTTTATATATAAAAGTTATAACAGAGATCTAAAATAATCTACTGTGAAATATGGCAAAAATTATATTTGATAAAGTTTGGTTAATTCTATATTATTCAAGAGAACTTAATAAACCTGTAGTTAGCGATGGTGCTTCATTGCCTTGTGGCAATAAAGTTTGAATTAACTGTGTTTGTCCCACTTCGTTTTTGTATAAAAAGCATTGGAAACAATATAATACTGAACATCGCAAAATAAACGGTTGCTTCTCGTTCACCATGGACATTAGTAAAACAACGATAGCTGGCCTATAACACATTGGTTTGTACAAAAAATTCCTTTTTATTATTCTTAAAGATATTAATATATTTAATATGTACCTTGGTGGAATGCTTGGCGCCATGACGCTCGCTAAGAATTCTTGATTACTAGCATTCCCTCTTATTACTTCTGCCACAGTATTAATGGTCTCAGTTAACACATCTGCAGGTACTCCACTTGCCATTAATATATCGCACAATACTTGCAATAATCCGCATGCCCTCATAGTTCGTTGACAAGCAGCAACTGCCTTTACAGAAGAATTATTTTATTAGAAAAAAAAATATAGTATATATATATATATATATATATATATATATATATATATATATATATATATATATATATATATATTAC